GGATAGTTCGTAGACCTGTCCCCCTAGTTCCTTGGGGCCCCTCCCAGTCCCCCCACCCAAAGTCTCCATGGGTCTTGGACCCTAGTGGCGTGCTTCCCTTGGGAAATTTACCCTTAGGTTTAATCTTGTTGGGGTGTGATGTCTCAATTGTTTTTTTTTTGTTTTTTTTTTATTAGGCTTCTCATACTGAACGGGGGAGGGTTGGGGGGTTCCATACTTGCCATGAGTGTCCCTGGATATCTCATCCTCCCGGGCTTGTCTGCCAAAGTGGGGATGTCAGGATGGAAGTGCTCGGTGTGTCTGCCCTGTGGTTTGTGCCATCACTCACCTGCTGTATACCACTCCTTGGGTAGAAGCTGCAGGTCCGCTGGATTTGCTGTCTGCCATTGGAGGTCTGGTGGGGCCTGGATGTCTAGTGCCTGAAGAAAGGCCACTGCGTCGCCGTCTGGGGTTAGTATCTTCAGTCTGCCATTCTTGAACGCCATGAGCTTGAAGGGGTGTCCCCAGGCATATTTTGTATTGTGGCTTCTGAGGATGTCTGTAACCAGTCACCATTCTCTGCGCCTCTGGAGTGTCGCTGGGGCCAGGTCTTGGAATAGGAAGATAGTCGCCACTTTATACGTGATGGGGCCTTCTCTGCTGCTTTTCATGATAGTTTATTTTGTTTGAAAATGTTGGAAGCACATAATGATATCCCTCGGCTGTTTGGCATCCAGGTTTCTTGTGCCCAGGGCTCGGTGAACCCGGTCTAGGTGCCAGTGGTTGTCTGGGCTGCCTGGAGCGAGGGGCTTCAGGATCGCCAGGACCGTGTCTGACAGACTTCCTTCGCCCTCCCTTTCTGGTAGGCCTCTTAGCCTGATATTATTTTGGCGGGTGCGGTTGGCTAGGTCTTCCAGGGCTGTTTCTGCTGCTACTAGCCGTGAAGTGAGGTTGTTAACGTGACGGGTTACCTCACTGTGGGCTATAACGGCTGTCTCCTGTCTTTGTTCCAGGGTGGTCGTGCAGTGCCCAAGTGCCGCGATCTGTGCCTTAACCTCCCCCGTGGATCTGCTGATCTCCCCTGCCAGGTAAGTTTTCACCTCCATCACTTTAGTTAGGATTTGGGAGGTATCCCCTTTTGGTGAATTGGGGCCCTGGGGAGACACCGAGGTGCCCGCATCTGACAGCTTCTTTTGGGGTTTCCGCTGGATTCTTTTATCTATGCTGCTACACGGGGTGCAAATTAGGGTGATTTTTTGCTCGCTTGTTAGCTTTTGTGCGCTGTAGGGCATATTCTCGGCGGGAGCTCAGCTTAAGAATAATAAGAATAATAAGAATAAAAACCTCTACAACAAAAGCAGAACTGGAACTGTGGTAATATCATAGAGCAGAGACACTTAGGCATTTGTGCCCCTCTTTGTGGGATCAGTTCAGGTGTAAGTTCCTGATTTCCCTCTTGTAGGGGGGATGAAAGGTGCAGTTCGAGAGGGATCCCAGGCATGTGTTGTGGTCGGCATCTCGGGAGCTGCAGATCCTGTTGGGAGGCCCAGAACCTGGAGGAAGGATTCGGCGGGCGATGCGCAGCGAGTGGTAGTGCCGTTTTACTTTACTGTAAGGGCTCTTGATAGTATCCATCTGTATTCCACCCCAGCTTCACAGAGCCTCTTGGTTATCGGGTTAGCTGCGCAGATTCAAATTCGAATGGGGTTTTTCCCCGAACCGTGGTCATTATTCATTTTTTGTCAAGGAGGGATTGGCATCTGATTATCATGACTCTGGTGCTGGCACTAGCCTGGGTTTGTTGACGTGGAAATGGCCTTCCAGAGTAAGCTTTTTAGCCGGTGTGTGAGGTAATAGAATAGTAAAACGGCGTCGTAGGTAGTGGGGCAGTTCTGTCAGGCAGATGGCGTCTGGTATGCCCCTGACCTTTATGTTTGTGCGCTGGTTTTGGTAATCAGAGACCTGTAATTGTAGTACCATATTCTGTAGTCCCTGCACCTCCTGCTGTACATCCAATATGTCCTCCTCTGAGGCCTGGACTCAAGTGGTCACTGCTGAACTTCGGTTCTCATTAAGTCCAAGTCAGCCGCAGAAATCTGTTTTAATTCTATCAAGAGGTTTTTTATGTCCAGCTTAGTGACCGGGGGCAAAGCATCCAGATCCGCAAGCACAGTGTGGTTGTCTTGTGGTTTGCGGGTTTCACATGGTCTCTGGATGCTGATTCCGAACTAGAGGAGCTGGCATCATGCTCCGATGGGGCCTCCATTTTGTAGGCAGCAGGGTGCTGTAGCAGAACGCCTATATCGTGGGAGTGTTTGGATGCACCAGCTTGTGGTTTCTGTGATTTTCGGCCCATGGTAGTGCCGCTGTGCGGGTGTTCTCTGGCGATGTAAGGGTACAAGCCGGCTTCCTCCAGATTGAGCGCTGATAGGTACGATGCAGCTTGTGGGTCCGATAGAGAGTGGTAGGCCACAACCCTGCAGCGTACTTTCCTGCCCGAAGGGAATCTGGTCTCGGCCTGTGTTGCTAGGCTGGTAAGGGGAGAATTTTGGTATTTTTGCAGCACTCTGCTTGCAGTGATAACGCTAGATTTATTATCAATTTGCAGGAGCCATGGAGAGTAACGTTCATTCAGCTCAAGCTTCAGGCCCCGCCCTGATGTCAAGAGATTTTAAGAGACCGTCCAAGCATTTTTTAGATATCCCTATGTCATGGGGTTATATGTAATTCCTTATCTGTTAACCTTCTGACCTGGTCCAATGGAAATCTTGGGGCAAGCCTTATGTTAATGTCTGTTGACGTCATTTTGGCATATAGTTCTATATGTTTCAAACAGTAGGTGGAGCTGTTGGCTTACGTCAGGAATATTACCAGCTATTATCATATGTAAGATGTAACTCTTGTTCATCCCATTGTACAGCGCTACGGAATTTGTTGGCGCTATATAAATAATAAAATAATAATAATAATAATGACAAACAATTTAGGATTGTTTAATATCAAGACTCTTTAGTCAGCGTTTTTACTTAATTGGGACTTTGGTTCCTCACACCAATTTGTCCTTGCTTATTTAAGCATTATTGCATTTCAAATGTTTTAAGTTGTCTTACTTAAACCTATGTAAACATCTAAAGGGGACAGCTCCAGATTTATCCTTGAATTGTGATTGTACTGCTCAGAGGCCTATTTAAGAGCTATTTGGAAACTCTCTGCTTGCGAGTGTATTTTATCTTAAGTTTACCTAAGACATTTTATATACTGGATTACACTCTCATTTTATATGAGACACCAACAATAGAATTCCTCATCTGCAGTAAAGTTCTGTCTACTTGAACACTAAGGAGGATAACAGACTGACCTCCAAAAAAGCACTAGCTTCTAAAGGTTCTTATCTCCAAAAAATACTTTTATTTTTGTTGGGACGCTTTAATATTGTTCTATCTCAATATTTTTATGTATAATATTGTACATATACATCTATATGTGATTATTTAGTATTTCTTATTTGGCGCAGTCTTTTTTGTTCTGTATTTGTCCTTGTTCCTCTTTGATTATTAGGGTATCCAAGTAACAGACCCTATTCTGTTGCCTTTGGAGTTAGCGTTGTATCTCCCCTTCTTTTTTTCAAGTAGTACACAAGTATTTTAGCACAAATGTCTTCAATTACTTTGTCAAAATGTCTCTGCTGACATTTCTTCACAATCACTATAGTTAGCCCACAAAGCAACCCTGATGGCCCAATTTATAGCACATGCATTGTCTGTTAAGAAAGCTAGACAAAGAAAAATACTTGCACTGTCCTTTAAAATAGCAAATTTATATCAGAAATATAAGGAATACCCAACAGATGATATCTCAATGCTATTCAGTTAGAAAGAACAGAAGTTATGCTCAGTAGGCTGAGATAAAATGTTACTCAAATGGGCATAAGCCAGGACATATGCTAGCTAAAAATGCATAAATATGCGGTTTCTACTTCCATCCTGTATGTCCTAGATGACAAGGGCCAGAAAATATACAGTCCACAAGCATGGGCGTCCGCAGGAATTTTTCCAGGGGGGGGCATAATTGTAATGACATCCATGCTTGGTACCTTTTTGACAGTGTCATGAAAGGGAAGGGGCACAGCCATTATCACATAAAGCCAGGGTGAATAGCGTTTTCACAACTATGGTGTCAGGAATATATGTTTGTATTCCTGACACTATAGTGTTCCTTTAAGCAAATTAAAGGACCATTCTGGTCACCATAACAACTTCACCTAAATGAAAATGCTATGATGCCAGGAAGCCCCTGGGTGCTCGCTTTCCTTTAAGGGGTTAAATCGCTCTCAAATGGTTTAACCTCAAAGGCTTCCTCCAGCTCCAGGTCGCTCAGTGGTATTTGGCTTCTGAAACAGAGTGTCAGGAAGTGCAGATTGACGTCAGGCATGGGTGCCGCTGATTGGCTAGAGTGGTCAGTTGACGCTCTAAGCCAATCGCTAGTTCCCGGTTCATAAAATATTTTTACTTTTTTATGAATGGGAGCTACTGATTGGCTTAGAGTGCCAGCTGACCGCTCTAGCCAATCAGCAACACCCCTACCCAACGGCACTCTGTGCTTCCTGACACTCAGTAAATAAAAGTGAACACATTAACACCAATATTTTTTTACCTTTGGAGATGAGAAGGTCCAGCGTTTCCCTGCCTGGCCCAGGTACCAAAGCCTTATGATGTGGTGTCCAGAATAAAGTGGAGGGTTCACTTCATTTGTCCTTCCTGCTCCAATCTCCTTATCCTCTCCTTCATTTGACAGTCTTTTTTTTTCTTCTGACACTGTTTTCTATCCTTGGCCCCTTCTGCTCTTTTACCTTTCTGCTACTTTCTGCTTATTTTGCGCCCTTCTGCTCCTTTCTCATTCTGATCCCTTTCTGCTCCGTGCAGACCCTTTCTGCTCCCATTTCTACTTTACCTTTGTGCTCCTTGCTGTCCCTTTCTGCTCTTTCTCATACTTTACCTTTGTGCTCCTTCTGATTCTTTCTGCTCCTTTACCTTTGTGCTCCTTACTGCTCCTTGCAGGCCCTTCCTGCTCCTTGCAGGCCCTTCCTGCTCATTCTCCTACTTTATGTTTGTGCTCCTTCTGCCCCTTCCAGCTTATTTCTGACCCTTTGTGCTCCTTCTACTTTACCTTTGTGCTGCTTTACCTTCCAGCTCCTTGCTGACCCTTCCTGTTCATTTCTGTTCCTTTGTGCTCCTTCTCCTACTTTACCTTTTGTGCTCCTTGCTGTCCCTTCCAGCTCCTTGCTGCCCCTTTCTGCTCCTTGATGTCCCTTCCTGCTCATTTCTGTTCCTTCTCCTTTTCTCACTTTACCTTCCTGCTCCTTGCTGACTCTTCATGTAGGCTGTCTCCCCCATCCCTCACTTCCATAGGCGTGCGCACGGGGTGTGTTGGGTGTGCCTGGGCGGCGCTATCCGAGCGGCGGCTCTGGTCTAAGCCTCCATGGGCTGGTGGGGAGATCAAAGTTCTACCTCACCGGTCCACAGCAGCATGGAGGGAGGCAGCAGAGAACCCGGGCTAGAGTTCACTCTCCACTGAACCACCAGGGAAGGCAGCAGGACTGGGATATTAACTAATCTGCCCCCACTTCCACCCAAACATACAGCACACACACACACAGCACCTACACACATACATCACCTTCGCACACACAGCACCCACACACATACAACACCCACACACCCAACACACTAACAGCATCCTCACAAACACACAAAACCCACACACAGCACCCACAAACAGCACACTCACACACAAACAGCACCCTGACAAACACACAACACCCACACACAGCACACTAACAGGACCCGCACAAACACGCACACACAAACACCCTCTCACACATACACACACACACAGCACACTACCAGTTCCCTCACACACAGCACACAAACAGCACCCTCACACACAGCTCACTAACAGCACTCTCACAAACACACACAAAAACACTGTCACCCACATAGCACACTACCAGCATCCTCACACACAAACACACAGCAGTGTATATATATATATATATATATACATACACACACACACATACATATACACATGGCGTGTGTTTGTGATTTAGGGTGCACACCCTAATGCAGTGTTTCCCAACCCAGTCTTTCAGCCAAATTTACTAATACTAAGTAAAAATTACCCCCTAAATATTACTTAGTATTAGTAAATTATGCCCCTACTATTAGTCTGCTCACTGTTTAATAGACATGCCCCTACTCGCTATACCACGAGTAGGGGCATGTCTATTAAACAGTGAGCAGCCTGTGGCTGTTCACTGTTAAAAAAAATAAAAAAAATAGGGTCCCCCTTCCTGAGCCCCCACCGGCGACGCGCGAGTAGGGGCTTTTAAACTAAAGGGGGGACCTATTGCCCCCCCAGCCACCACCCCTGAGCGCCAAGAGGGGGCCCTACAGAAAAATAAGGGGTGGGACCTAATGTCCTCACCCCTGGACCCACCCCTGGCTGCGGGTGGGGGCTCTACAGTAAAATAAGCAAATGTCCAAAAAAGGGGGGCCTAATGTCCAAAAAAGGGGGGGATCTAATGTCCTCCCCCTGGCCCCCACCCCTGATCGGCGGGTGGGGGCCCTAAATTGGAATTAGGGGTGGACCTAATAACCTCCCCCCGGCCCCCACCCCTGAGCGGCGGGTGTGGGGCCTAAATACTAAAAAGGGGGGGACCTAATGTCCTCCCCCCTTGCCACCACCCGTGAGCGGTGGGTGGGGGTCCTAAATTGGAAAAAGGGGGGGCCCTAAATATTAATAAGGAGGGGACCTATTGTCCTTCCACCTGAGCGGCGGGTGGGGGCCCTAAAAAAAAAATGTTAATCCCCCAGGTGACTACGGGTCCCCAAAACCCTAGTCATCCTAGCCCCAAAAAATTAGCTCCCTACCTACCTCCCTCACCCTAAAAATAACGACGGGGGGACCTTTAACTAAGTACCTGTAAAAAAAATAAAACTTACCATTCGATGTTTTCTTTCTTCTAAAATCTTCTTTTTTCAGCCCCAAAAAAGGCCAAATAAAAATCCATAATAACCAACGAAATTTAAAAAAAAAAAAACTAGCGCAAAAAAAAATCAATTTTCACCCGGCGAGGGCTCCGTGCAGACTGAGCTCTGCAGGACGGGGGAAGGCTTATAAAAGCCTTGCCCCACCCTGCAATTAGGCTCAGCGCACTCTGATTGGTGGGTTTAAGCCATCCAATAAGAGTGCTCTGACAGGTAAATGAAGAGACTGACAGGTAAGTCTCTACATTTACCTGTCACAGCACTCTGATTGGTTGGTTTGAAATCCACCAATCAGAGTGCTCTGTGTCATTTTACACAGTGTGGGAAAGTTCTTTGGAATTTTCCCACCCTGTGTAATTTGACTCATAACTCTCTGATTGGTTACTTAATTCACCAACCAGAGAGTTATGAGTCAAATTACACAGGAGCACCGTCTGCGCGGAGCCCTCCATGGGTGAAGATGGATCATTTTTTTTTAATTTTCTTTTTTAATTGCGTCGGTTATTATGGATTTTTATTTGGCCTTTTTTGGGGCTGAAAAAAGAAGATTTTAGAAGAAAGAAAACATTGAATGGTAAGTTATATTTTTTTTACAGGTACTTAGTTAAAGGTCCCCCCTCATTATTTTCAGGGTGAGGGGGTAGGTAGGGGGTTAATTTTTTGGGGGGTGGAAGGGGTGACTAAGGGTTTGGGGACCCCTAATCACCTGGGGTGGTTATTTTTTTATTTAGGGCCCCCACCTTCCGCTCAGGGGTGGGGGCCAGGGGAGAGGACAATAGGTCCCCCCCATTGGTATTTAAGGTCCCCACCCGCCGCGCAGAGGTGGGGGCAAGGGGGGAGGACATTAGGTCCCCCCCTCATTAGTATTTAGGGCCCCCACCCACCGCTCAAGGGTGGGGGCCCGGGGGGAGGACCTTAGGTCCCCAGCTTATTAGAATTTAGGGCCCCCATCTGCCGCTCAGGGGTGGGAGCCAGGGGGGAGGACATTAGGTCCCCCCCTTATTAGTATTTAGAGCCCCCACCCACCACTCAGGGGTGGGGGCCAGGGGGGAGGACCTTATGTCCCCCCCTTATTAGTATTTAGGGCCCCCACCCGCCACTCAGGGTTGGGGGCCAGGGGGGAGGACATTAGGTCCCCCCTTATTAGTATTTAGGGCCCCCACCTGCCGCTGAGGGGTGGGGGCCAGGGGGGAGGACATTAGCTCCCCCCTTATTAGTATTTAGGGCCCCCACCCACCACTCAGGGGTGGGGGCCAGGGGGGAGGACATTAGGTCCCCACCCTTATTCCAATTTACGGCCCCCACCCGCCACTCAGGAGTGGGGGCCAGGGGGAGGACATTAGGTCCCCCCCTTATTAGTATTTAGGGCCCCCACCCACCGCTTAGGGTTGGGGGCCAGGGGGGAGGACATTAGGTCCCCCACGTATTACAATTTAGGGCCCCCACCCGCCACTCAGTGGTGGGGGCCAGGGGAGAGGACATTAGGTCCCCCCCTTATTAGTATTTAGGGCCCCTACCCACCGCTCAGGGGTGGGGGTCAGGGGGGAGGACTTTAGGTCCCCCCCTTATTAGTATTTAGGGCCCCCACCCACCGCTCAGGGGTGGGGGTTAGGGGTGAGGACATTAGGTCCCCCCCCTTATTCCAATTTAGGGCCCCCATCCGCCACTCAGGGGTGGGGGCCAGTGGGAGGACATTAGGTCCCCCCCTTATTAGTATTTAGGGCCCCCACCCACCGCTTAGGGTTGGGGGCCAGGGGGAGGACATTAGGTCCCCCCGTATTACAATATAGGGCCCCCACCCGCCGCTCAGGCGTGGGGGCCAGGGGGGGGACATTAGGTCCCCCCTCTTTTTAGTATTTAGGGCCCCACCCACTGCTCAGGGGGGGGACAGGGGGGAGGACATTAGGTCCCCCCCTTATTTTACTGTAGGGCCACCACCCACCGCTCAGGGGTGGGGGCTGGGGGGAGGATATTAGGTCCCCCCTTATTCCAATTTAGGGGCCCCACCCGCCGCTCAGGGGTGGGGGTCAGGGGGAGGACATTAGGTCCCCCCCCTTATTCCAATTTAGTGGCCCCCCTGGCCGCTCAGGGGTGGGGGTCAGGGGGGAGGACATTAGGTCCTCCCCTTATTATAATTTAGGGCCTCCACCCAATGCTCAGGGGTGGGGCCAAGGGGGAGGACATTAGGTCGCCCCCCTTATTCTGATTTAGGGCCCCCACCTGCCACTCAGGGGTGGAGGCCCGGGGAGAGGACAATAGGTTCCCCCAATTATTTTACATTAGGGCCCCCACCCGCAGTTCAAGGGTGGGTGCCAGGGGGGGCAATAGGACCCCCTTTAGTTTAAAAGCCCCCACACTGAGGGCGGATGTAAGAGTCATACAAACAGGAGAGATAGGAGACACACAAGGGGAAAAATAGGAGATAAAATACACTAAAGGGAGTAAGATATTTAAAAGACGGGCTAAGAAACACAAAAGGCGGGTTAAGAGGTACACAGGTGAAGATGTTTTTTGGGGGGGTGGAAAAATGCATTTTCGCCTATGTACCCAAAATTCTTTGCACCGTCCCTGGGTAGGGGGTACTTGACGACTGGGTTGGGAACCCCTGTTCCAAATTACAACATTTCTTGCACACAACTGCAGTCCCACAGGCTCATGGTGACTGGATTTGCAATGACTTAAAGGTAGCTTGACTGCAGCAACGTGTATTAAAATCATTTGGATACATTGAAAGCATCAGCCTTAGCAAAGGTCAATCAAACTGGATAGCAATTTGTTATAATGTCTTTTTATTTTGAAGATGTTAGCAGACATGTCCATTAAACCCTTGATTGTAAAACACATGTCTGTCTGCATTATTTAGCATCCTCGGATATAAACAAAGGACCATCAACTGGTACAGGTAATGACAACATCCCACCAATTCCCAAAAAGTGCGTTTTTCTTCTGAGTGATCCATTCTCTGCTTTCATCTTCTCCTTTGTTGCCTTATCACTTTTCTGTTCTGTAGAAAAAATCTTAAAGGAGAAATGATCAATGTTGTATTATCGAGTAAAATTAAAGGTAATAGCCCCCCCACCCTCTTACTATGGATGGAGACCGGATAAGGACAGTGGTTTATGGATGGGGACATGGGGATAAGAGAGCATGTCCCCTCTTTTTTTATTTTAGACCTCACTGGCCACAGGTGGGAGCCAGAGGTAGGAGTACAATCTGTCCACCCTCCATTATTGAATTTACACCTCCACCCACTGCCCATGCATGAGGGAAGGGGTGGAGGGTTGGGGTTTGGTATCCCATGAAGCTTTATCGACTGGACAACAATACTTTTTAGTATTTAGTTTTTTTTCAATATGTGGAAGCTGGGTTCTTGTGTTGCCTATGGGCAAATAATACTTACATTTTTTGTTCATTTGCAAAAAGCAAGTGAACAATGATTTTAACATTTGCATCATACCGGATGCATTCATTCTCAATTCTATTTATAGTCAATGATTTGTAAATATTGCAGACTCTGTACGGATGTGAAAAGCACAGATTTTAAACTTGACACTGAATGTGACTGTTCGAATAATGGAGATTCAGTGGTGTTGACTGAATTCCAACTGATATTGTTTCTAGTAAATATGAGAATTCTCATTCCGGTTGAAATTAGGCAATTTTCACCAAATCTTGTCCATCCAGACAAAACACATTAGCAAATTAAACAGTAAAACAGCAGTTTTACTACTGCTTTCAAGACATATGTAGCCACAAATCCAATAAACCAAAAAATATATAAAATCAATAGCTAAACTATGCTGTCGTCACAATACAGTAGAACACTGATTGCTTATAGTTTATAGTAAAGAAGGGGGAGGAATGATAGAGAGCATAGCTAACTCTGTATATCCCTGGGTTGTTTGTTCCCAGATCCCTAGAAGAGATCTGTCTGTCCATTTCCCTTCATAAATTATATGCTAATTGTTTTGCCTTCATGCTGTCACTTATTTATACAGTCCTGTCAATGGCAGCTTTTCTGTCAGTGAATGCACACTGATGTGATATTTCTCAAGGACAATCCCTTGTATCTATAGTATAAGAGTATAAGAACCCTGCCTTTTACAATCTGAGGCACACAACTCTGGTTCCCTTAACCCCTTAAGGACCAAACTTCTGGAATAAAAGAGAATCATGACATGTCACACATGTCATGTGTTCTTAAGGGGTTAAATTAGGGAATTGCCGAAGTCCCGAATTGCCAAAGTCCCGAATTGCTGAAGTCCCGAATTTCGGAAGTGCAGAACAGAACCAGAGACAAAGTCCCGAATTGCTGAATTCCCGAATTTCGGAAGTACCGAACCAAAGTGCCGAATTGCCGAAGTCCCGAATTACCGAAGTCCTGAATTCTGGAAGTGCCAAACCGAACCAAATTAATTGCTATAACTGTATGCACTGACCAAAACCTAAATCACATTATAACATGCAGCACCATACAATGAACACTCACCTCGTTAAAACGCAACGGATTGTAACGTTTTGATTTATATCGCTTGAAGGGTGCTGGAGGTTTCTTAAAACGTCTGTTTGGATTTAATAGTGAAACTGGTGGAGAAGGACCGAAAATAGAATCTAGATCTGATCATACAAAAATAAAGAATAATTCACAGTATGTCAGATTACATCATATTCACATTCACGCAACCATTATTTTAGCAACTGAATTTGTGATCCACAACATAAGGTAGTCAAGCATTCATTATTTTGATGGAGAAGAAAAAAAATGTCCATCTTATGTATGGTATATTGTACACTCAGAAATACTGTAGTACATTGGAGAGTGTTTTTTACATTGCATTCTCAATCTCCTCTGCAGTGAACAAAGTTCTGAAGCCTTAATATGTCCACTTAATTTGGTCTATGGATAGACCGAATGGTTCATGTAAACCCTAACCTTTTAGCTGTGTATAAAATAGAAGACAGTTGCCAAGCTAATCTGTAAAAATGAGGTCTGGTATGTTAATTGACATATTGATAACTAATTTGCATATAACTGCATTCAAGAACTTCCAGGAAAATGTTATGTTTTCCAAATGGAGGTAGTTAATTTTTTTTTAAATCTGTTTATAATCAGCGCATTTAGTTTAACCACTACAATAGGAAGGAAAGAGGAAAACAACTACGAATGAAAAGTGGGGGATTTGTTAATTGGGTCAAGAGATGGTAATAATTATCTGGTTAGCAATTTAGTTTATTTGATGAATTACCTCCAGAACGACCATCACCACTATATTGATGAAAATAAATAATTGTTTAAAGTTTTGTTTCTTTTTATACAAATGTGCCATCATAGATACTGGGTTATCCTTTAAGGAATGTAAAGAAACACATTATCGGATACAAGCACAATGAAACAACAAAGCAGGGAATAGGGAATGACCATTATCTTACAAAGTACTAATTTATATTTTGACTGTTCATTATAATGTTAAATACTTTAAGTCTTTTGGATAGCTGTTTGCAAATATATGATGCTTGGCTATAGAAAAGTTTTGAATATTCATACCAAGACACAGAATGTGATACATTATTGGACAATCATCATATTATCAGCTTCAAACTTCTATGATTTGATGTATTACCGGTGGTGAACAGGTGCCTCTCCCAACCTCCACTAGTGATGGCAAAGAGGTGAATCAGACGGGACTATCAGCCATGAGCTAGCCCTGTTCTACAGGGTGTAGCTAAGGGGAGCAAATAGAAGCTCCTTCATGGGGACACACGGGTCTCCATTATTAATAGTGGAAGTGGGTAGTGGCACCTGACAGACCCCAGGTAAGAGATCATACCATTTCTAAACAATTTCTCTACTTACACTCAGGGGAGCACCAGAACACCCCTGCATCATAATTACTATAATGTACAGCGAGTTATATTCTTTATGGTACTTGGAGTGTATCTCTAAGACTTAGAAAGTGAAAACACTCACATTATTTTTCTGGGTACAAGTTCAATATAAAAATAGAATTTAGATTTAAGGCTACGCAATTCACACTGAATTTATTCTTACACCAGTAATATCATATTTTTAAAAATGTATGTATTGTTAGATGCCTGTCAGATCTTGGGAGATTTGTGAGGCACTGGCACATATCTCTTATATTTGGTCACAGTGAAACCACATATTTAGAATGCAAGGTTTCACTTCATAAACTACCTGCCAGCAGGAATTATAATAAGAAAACAAGAATGAAGTGGCAATTCTGCATAACTTTGATTTACTGTGACAGCAGTTAATACACCTGAGAGGTGAGGTTTAACATTAGCTAACTTGTAAAGAAACTAGTGTATATATATTGACAACTTATACTTGTTAAACATACTCCTAAGTATAAAGAAAATCAAGTGATACACCATATACTAACCAAAATGCTTCTATAACTGTGCATAATCATTCCTATACTGTATACACAAATAAGTATGGAAAAACACACTTGAACAGTAAAACAAAAAAGAGAAAAAGTTGGAGCGCTAATAAACTAAAAAACTAAATTCACCAAGTGTAATACTGTAAATACATAAGTGATGCAATAAAGAACAGTGAAAATTCATACTAAATGTATAAAGTCAAAAAATCCTGGCTCTAAGAAATGGGGTAAACTGTGTTTTCATTGGTTCCACCACACTCTTTTGCTGTGGTAGAGAGATATGCAGACAACAGAAGATACAGAAGCATAACAAGTAATGGAAGGCAATTGCACTTACATTTTCTGGAGTCCTTTGTAACTGGCTCTGAGATGTAGGTAAATACCCTTTTAGCTAATTAAAAGAAACCTGTTGTGAAAAAATGTGCTTACCTGAAATCGCTCCTGTATACTTTGAAAATACTATATGTCACAAAGATACATGATGTAAAATACAGAGATTTATTCACCTTTCCTCTGTAAAAGTTCCGCTTCATTAATGTAACTCTTCATGTAACACCCGCCTCTGGGCTACCTGGTCCGCGTGCCGGCAGGGGTCCTCCGATCGAGCCGCACTCCTGCCTCCCAGCGAGCTGCATGCACTCAAACACTCCTGGCAGGGCACACGCACTGAACAGTCTGATCGGGCACGCAGCCCGTACAGGATTGGGACCGCTGCTTGCATTGCGAGCACGTTCTTAAAGGGGAAATGGGAGCATTACCTTGCGGTTGGCTCCCACTGGCCCACGTAATTGTGGCGCTCCTATTCACGCACATTTTGGGGAGCAGGCATGACGTGGACCAATCAAATTAAACATAAAGGTATTTAAACTTACCTGGCCCTAGAATCTGTGCCCTATTGTGGTTTCTGTTCCCAGTACTCTTTAGTGCGTTCCTTGTGATATAGTATTGTATTCTGGTACTGACCTTAGGTTTGTTTCTGAGTTTCGTTTTAACCCTTGCCTGTCTTGTTTGCCCCTCTGATTATTACCGTGAACCTTACTCTGGCTAGTTCTCGTTTTCGCTGTCTCTCTACTACCCTGACCTTGGCTTGTATTTCGACTACGCTTTACTCTAACATTAGGTCCGGCCACTCTAAGGCCTAGTAAGACGTTTATATTTCCTTAGTCCGTTCCTTGCTATCCTAAACTCTGCATGTTAGGGTTATGCTTCAGCTTGCCAATGTCAGAATGGAGTGATGTCACGTCATTCCGTTCCTATAACCCCTAGCTAGCGCTAGAAATGGAGAGGCTAGACGAGGCAGTGACTAACAGCTAGGAGAAAAAAATATTTTTTAAATAGGTTTTTCTCCAAATCTACACATTTGTAAAATAAGTAGCACAATTTATAGATAAAATCTTATACTCAGTATAATTATCATACATTTTTTTTTAAATGCCACCATTTCTATATTTCTATTATATGTCATACATACTCCTGCCAGTCAGCACAAGCATCATGCTGGGAAATAAGATAATAGGTGATAGAAGCTGGACAACAGGGTTCAATGTTAATGACAGAAATTCTTAAGCAGTAGTATATATGATCAGGCTTAAGCAGTAGTATATTTGATCAGGAATCTGTCCAGGCACTGAATAAAGGTATATTTTATGTAAATGTTCTTTACAAAAATAAATGAAGGGGAGTCCATAAGTCTAAAAAGAATAAGGAACCATTTTTCAATAGTTTAACCCCAAAGTTGTACACTGGCACCCAACAGCTCAGCCACCTCTGTCCTTACATCCTTCAATCCATGAAGTCTCACATATGGTCTCAGCCTATCACTGCCCACCCACTGCAATAAGTAATAATGGGCCACTGATAAACTAAGAGTGTCAATTAATTCTCTCAGATTATCACCAGTTGTCAAGACAAACATTTCAAGACTGTATGACAACCGAAGGAGGAGACAGGAGTCAGAGAGGACAGGCACCCGAACTACAAACTTTACGATTAAACTGTCCGAAAATGGTTTAACCCATGAAGGTAACATGGCGCCCAGTGACTACAGGTATTATAGGGGATAGTGTTAGGAGTGATCATTTAACCACTAACACTAACCCTAGCTTTAACCCTAACAGTAAAATATGTAATTAAGTAATGCTAGAACACTTACCCATGCTAAAGAGGTAAAACAGACTTAGGGGGAGAAAGAAAGATACAGACGAGGAAGAAGAGATACAGATAGAGATGGTAAAGAGCGTATGAGATTCTTCAGAGTAATGTGTATGCATTATTTTATTCCCATAATCCACAATTCCGCAGTGTTTTTTCTTCTATATGAAATAATTTTCTAAAATTAAGCATAGAGCTAGGATTCCTTTCGTTTTTAGAGTAATTCCGAGACATGCATGTCCTTGGTTACCTGTAATTATTGGCCCTTACACACTTGGACAATGTCTGCTATTACCTGCTACTGCATTTAATTCAATTTCTCTACTTTTGGTTCAGGAAGGGAAGCTAGGGATAGAAACTCAAATTGTCTTTGTCAACCCAACTCCTCTACTGGCACATCATTAAAGAGAGTGAGACTGAATTAAAAGTGAAAATGTAACTCCCACAAACATTATATGTAACATATACGTATTCCTCCACGGTAGTGTATATAATCATCACAAGTAATCTGTTAACCAGGAATTCAGTTGCTTGCTTCTCAGCAACAGCTTAATATGTTATCTTACACTCTGTATCTGTCAGTTCTTCCTTACTGAGGTAAGTACCCAAGTCAAAGGCACCAAAAATTGTATCTGAATGCATCACACTGTTTCCTTCTATTTGATTTGTTGAAGCTAAAAAAAAAAAAGAAAAAAAAGAATTACTGGAAATCAATATTTTCTCTTTTGTATAGGTTTCTGAACTGGAGACAATAGAGGATATTTCAAAAGAGTTTTGGGATAAGAAAAATATTACAAAATTCTAAAAGTGAGCAATTACCATGGGATCAAATTGAATCAGTAGGTACATACAGCTGACAATTGTTCCACTTTTAAATCTCCCCCAAAATCTATAATTGTACTGGGTTATCAAACGTGAGTTATCGAGCAAGGAGATCTCATAGCCTCCAATACTGGCATCCTGAAAAGCTGGATGCCAATTGGAGGGGGGTAATGGGAGCTGCCCAGTAATGAGATCTTGTCACTGGCTCTGCACAAAGGGGGCAGGCCCATCCAGTAATTGGGGCGTGTCCGCTCAAAAAATTAGCAGGTTTACCTGGCGTGCCTGTGAATTTCAGCAGAGGGATTTCTTTGCTAGTTATTTGAGCTGTTGTCTGTTCTCAGTACTCTCTTGCAACTTGTTTTTTGGTCTCCCTAAGTTTAAAGGTTAATCCAGCCGTGGACCTCTTGCTGTCTGGGGTTGCTGTATCTTTCATGCAGAGAGAACCAGTCTGTTTTTTAAATGTCCTTTTGGACGGGAACAGTCTGTAATGCAAATGGCCTGGTTCTCTATGTAAAGGCTCAAGGTGAGCTAAAACCAGCTTGAGATCTGAGCGGGGACCCACCGAACCCACTGAAGCTGTTGTCCGTTCTCAGCACTCCCTTGCACCTTGTTTTCTGGCTCTAATAATAATTTGAACCTGAATCCAAACAGCTAATTCTAAACTTAAACAACAATATGATTGGGTGTAAGCACATAAAATCATGGACACATGGTTTAGCCTAAAAAACCCAAAGTAAAATGCAGACCATAGTGCAGCTATTGTGTTATTAGTATACTTTTTTTATTAGGCAAAATAATATTCCCTTATAAAAGCAAGCATTAGACTCGGTTGCCAACAAAATGGCAGAGCCGATATGAGCAATGTACTAAATACAATGAGCAAGAAACTAAAAGGACAGAAAGGTGTATAGATATAAGAAAAGAAAATGACAAAAATAAAGTTAGTCTGGTCACGAAAGCTGATTCGGTCTAGGGAAACGATGATGGGTTATTAGTCATTGATGCCGATTACGTGATCAGACTCAGAAAATACCGAAAAACATAAAAGAATGCATCTTTATTTTCCATTGGAAGTTTATTATTTTATTGGGTAGTTTATCCTACTTTTTAATTAGCATGATACAAAGCTAGAAGCTGGGGAATCAGCTTCTGTAAAAAAAATGTTGGTAGCACGCCATTGTGAAGCCATCTAGGCCTGAGGCCTTTTATGCTGTTATAGAGGATATGACCAGTGCCATATCTGTGATTGTGGCTGAAAGGAACTCAACCTGGGCTCCATTTAACTATGGTAAGGAGAGTTGAGTTGCAGGGATGAAAGCTCTCCACAAAGCACAGGCCCCCCAGCAGAGTGGTTGAGTGAAGAGTGATTGTAAATCGTAGAATAAAACTAGGTAAAAACATCATGGATGTCAGTAGGAAAGCAGACCTTTCATTTTTGAGATAGTGTGTGTGAAGCCTGAGATGGTGGGCAAGAGGCTTGTCCATCTTGAAAATAGTTTGCAATAGAGATCTGCAGGCGTAATCCAAAAGAAGAGCCCTAAGGTCCTGCCTACTCTGGAGGAGAGTGTGTGTAACTGCCTCAGAAGGATTAGATTTATTTCGAAACTCCAGTTTACATAATTGAGATTGAAAAAAAATGATCTCCGCCATTCTTTTGTTTATATAGTGGGAAGCATGCTTAGTAAAAGAACACCGAATAACCCACCGAATATGGGCAGCTATAGTTTTCAGGCACAGGAATCCCCAGGGCATTTAGAAAGGATGTAGAAATTTTTAGGGAGGTACAACTCTAATTCTTGCCATTGTGAAACACCTTGAGGTGATAGGGGTATCCCCAAGCATTGTCAGGGTATTTCCACTGACAGACATTTTGTATAAAGAAAGAAATTAAAAATGTATACTGTAAGGCACCATAAGAACAGAGGTGACTCCATTTTGTAACAGAATTAAAAAAATGTAAAAAAAGAGAGAATTTTTTTTCCCCTCTCTCTGTAACTCTAAAATCTGGTTAGAATTATTCTTATCGGTCATTGGATGAGAAGGAATGTTAACTGATCTGGTATGAGGATTATTGTTTTTGTCATTGCAATGTAAAAGGTATTTTGCCTGTGAGAATTGTAGCCAGCTAGCAGTGAGTGAGTAAAGTGTGATTCAGACAGAGAAAGGTTTTTACGGCCATATGCTGTGCTGTTGTGTGAGGCTGTGAGATGCTGTGTCCTGTGTTAAGGAATGTTTAGTAAGCTGATTTCAAAGATAGGCAATGGTCCTTTTTTAAAAGGGAGTGTCTGTAAAGGATTGAATGAAAGGCAGTGTACACGTTTGTGTAAAATAAATTTCTGAAACCAAAAGAAATTAAAAACCATGCATTTTTTTAAATATAAAAATAAACTTTTTTTTTAAGTGTAATTAATATGTACTAGTCAACAACATAAAGTTAAAAGTAGTACCATGACAGGAGGGGGTGGGGGGCCGGGGTGGTAAGGTAGTATGGAAAGCAGTTTTTTTAACGAGTCTTTGTTTTTATTTTTAACCTTAGAGGTCAGTATAATTCTTCAAGTACACAGGTTGTTGTGTTACTTACCATCACTGTTGTCTGCGTCATCCATCACAATGCGGCACAGTGGAAAATTACCCATCTTCTCAGTCTTAGCCGACTGTTTTTCAAGGCAATAATTTATGTTTTTTTTATTTTCTTCAACCGATGATTTTCATTGAAGGGCAATGCTTCTAGAATAATAATTTGTTCTGAAAAAAAATTAAGAAAAAAGCCAATATAAGTCAAGATTTATAGTTATAAAGCAGCTCGGTCACAATTAAAATTTGAATCCATGTTTTACAAGTTTACCTCAAATGGATATAGGATATCTGCTTTAAGAATATTTAACTAAGAAATGCTCTAAGATGACATGCACAAACATGGTGATGTAATAAACAAATTGTGACATAATTTTCCTTTAGTAGGGTAGAGAGCTCAGAAAGAGACAGATACACAGACAAACCAGCAGAAAAAAACCCCACACAAACAAACATACAAAATTGAACAGTAAATGAACGGTACCCAAATAAGTTGCCAAACCACAAATCAGTATCAAAGAGATTGACTGCTTACACTTGGGGAGGGGCAGATCACAATCCTTGGTAAGACTTCTGGCACCATAACTGCTACAGAGAAATGTACCGGTTATGATTCTTGAACTGTTCCTTCAATGACAAACTGTTGATCATATACCTAATAGACTGACAGGGAACTGTATAAATCATTTAATTTATAATAGTAATCCCACAGTCACATCCCTGTACCCTGTTTTCTTTTTATTTATTGCTTTAACTTGTAAGTACACCTCCCAAGCGTCCCTATTTTGATCCAAAATCCCTCTGCCTGTTTTTTTTCCATACTGGTGCTATATTTGAGTGTATAACAGAGCTCAAAAGCAATAATAAAAATAGTGTGTCTTTCAACTACAATAAATGTGTTTAGAAATCAGTTGTTGTACATTGTTCTTGTTCTAAATTAAATTTTAGTTGCAAAAATTGTTATTAGTAATTCACCTAAAATTTATCCAAACAGCCCCACCCTGGACCATTGTCATATTCTTCCATAATACAATAAAAGATATCGCGTTAGTACATAAGCATTTATTCTGCAAGTGTTACTCCTTTAAATAATGTCTATCCAATCACCTTCCTCTATAAACACCACATGTATCATTATCAGTGCTAGAATGTAGAGTCTGTTCTGTTAATCCAATCTTCTCTCCATTAGATACCCCTTTATAATACCAAAACTAAAACTGCCCACGCTTCTTTAAATCTTAAGGAATTTGCCTGCAAACACCTCCGGTTAACTCCTTTCCTCCTAACGTGTCTCCTTGAACCCGACCTTCCAACCTGAACTGACAAAACCTGAAAAATCCTGGATTTAATTTATTAGCATAATACTACTTGGATCCTCCTTAACTGCATCGTACCCTGGGAATCAGATTGATAATCGGTTATCGGCTTTTGCAAAGTATATTTCTCTGATGACAAATAATAAAGAGTGAGGATGTACAACGGAGAGAAGAAAAAATTATAATAACATAGCAGAGGGGATTAGGGATATAATTTGGTGCAAAGATAATCAAACTAATTTGATATCACAATATAATGTATTACTATATGATTAAAAACAAGTGATAAATAAACTTCATATCATACCAAAGGTTTCTGCCTTGTTCCAGCTTACTGGGAATCCTGAAGGGTAGAGTCTCTCCAGGTTCGCTTGACAACTGCTGGTAGTGGGGATTAGATTTCAGCTGATCCATCTACCAGCCACCAGGAAGCTGGAACAGGGCAGAAACCTTTGCACCAGAATACCTACAGATCCCATAACTCGGAGCACTACTTGCAGTGTGCATATACAGTGCAACCGACACAGATGTGGGTGAAATACTTTTTTTTTTCTCACTCCTTTAGGATTTTTATTACCACAAAGAAACTTTTTTATACAAACTTTTTTTTAGCTGCTATGCATTGAAGCGGCTATTATTTGTGAATGCAAGGTTATCCTACCAAGGATTGCTGCCACTTTAACCTTTTTAAAAAAAATAAGTAAATCTGAGCTCACACCCCACCTATCTTTTATACTCCTCTGATGGCTTACCTGAAAATGATCCGGACCAGCCCTGGACTCCTCTTTCGTCTTGGTTTCCCAGGTCTGGTAAAACAAAGAAACCAGAGTATATGTTGTTAAGTTAAAGGGGCACTATTGTCACCAGTATAGCTAGAGCTTAATGTAGTGGTTCTCATGTCTATATCCCGTCCCTGCAAAGAAAATGTCAGTTTTTACAATGGTGCATTGGAACACCTCTAGTGGCAGTCATTCAGACAGCCACTTGAGGTGCTTCCTAGCAGGGCCTGTGCAAGGAATTTTGACTACACAGGCGAAGATGGGGGCTTGGAAGGTAAAAAAGGGAGTTCCCAGTGAATCTGCCATGTCCCCCCTTCCAAACTCAAACCTATCCCCATATGACTCAACTCTCAGGGGGCCACTGTGACGCCTATACACCCCAATAGCAAATCTGGAACCCTGTGTCTTCAGCCCAGGATTATTTCCAGCATATTTCTCCCCATTTGTAAGGAGACCCCAGACAAGTTGAATCTGAAGTTAGTCAGTACATTCAGCCCACCAAGGCTATCACCAAATCGGTACCCCAAACAAATTGCCCATGCAAGAGCAGCACTCACCCAGCCGACCTCTGCATCTACTGAAGCATATACCTGGCGATGCGTGCCCACTGTCCAGTCTCCCCGGATCTCTCTCAGCCGCTGGAGGGAAGGCAGAATGGCTGGGCCCCCTCTGACATGGGGTTGGGGATCTGATCTCATTGTCCAGCTTTCCTGTGGACTACAGTTAGAGACTATAGTCCCAACCGCCTGTACTGGATAGAGATCGCCCAGTGTGTGTGGAGAAGGGCTGAGGTTAGCCGTGCTTTGCCCTTGGATCCGCTTTTCTGTGGGGCCAGCTGTGTCAGATGCCTCTGGCTTGTGGGTTTCCAGTGGGTTTGGGCAGAGGCAAGTGGCGCTCTTCCCAGATATCAGCGCTTCAGCTGGGGTAATTGCGCACTCTTTGAACTCCACCTTCACTAGATGGTTGATCTCCCTGCTCTCAGCTCCGTTGTCGCTGCAAGTTGGGGGCAGAGGCCAGTGTTCCTCTGTCCCGATGCCAGCTCTTCTGCTGGGGTTACACTTTGCTGGTGGGGAGGAAGACTGACCATCTCCTCTCCCTGTGTTGCACTTTGCCACTGGGGAAAAAGACAGACTGTCTCCTCTCCCAGTAATGAAAACTGCAACTGGGGAGGAAGACAAGACCGAGTATCTCTATTTCCAGCAACTCAGACTGCTGCTGAGGGGGGAGACTGACAACCTCTGCTTCCTGAGTTTCCATGCCAGGACATGGGGGATCTGGGATGGTGGCCCAGTATCCCAGTGATTCAGGTGTAAAATAAGTGTCCCTTTTTCTCCATTTGAAATATTGGGTGAAAAGTGATCTTTTATTTTACGTAGGAATAATGTTCCCAAATGTGTAACCTACCAGGTGGAAATTGTAATGATCATTTGAACTTATGCAGTCAGGGAGGGAGAGATAAATAGATAGAGAAAGATATATAGATATACTAGATAGAGAGATATAGACAGATAAATAGAATAAATACATAGATTAGATAGACAAAGATAGATAGATGGATAGAGAGACAGGTAGCTAGACATACACAACCTGACAGTCACACAGAGAGTGACAGGTAGGTAGACAGAGTGACACACTGATAGCTGCTTTGTATATACATATTTAGGGGAAAGTTCTAACAGTAAACACATCTGACACTCAGAATTCTATTCTCAAATACTATCATTTTCCAACCTCTAAACGTGCAATGTGCAAATACCACATTAACTGCAAATGACATTAACTGAATAGCCTGCCTACCGCTATCAGACTCTTACCCTAGTCTTGCATCTTTTAAGAAGTGCCTTAAAACCCATCTCTTTAGGAAAGTTTATGGCCTCCCAGAGTAACCTCTTCCTTACATACCTGACTCTTGCTCTCTCTTAAAGGGCAGCACTCTACGCTCTTCTCTAGCTCTGTCTCTCTCGTACCTTATTTGATGGCTATTTCCTGTCCTATTGTGTTTTACACCCCACCTCCTATAGACTGTAAGTTTGTTTGAGCAGAGTCCTCTTTAACCTATCGTTGCTGAAAGTTTTCTTGTAATTGTCCTATTTATAGTTAAATCCCCCTCTAATAATATTGTAAAACGCTACGGAATCTGTTGGCGCTATATAAATGGCAATAATAATAATAATATAACAAATTAATACAAATGGATGGAAGTTGAATAAAGATGGCAAGCATTCTACAGAGCCCTGCATTGCCATAATAATGAGGCTTTGTGCACTCTAACCCTAGACTACCAATGACCAATCAAAATGCTAATTTTACTCACTGCATTTTAGCCAGTCAAAGGAGCATCTCCTAGCTTGCTCTTCACCTTCCCTCCTCCAATCAGATGTTCTCTTGCAGCAGTTCACTGCTTCTGCAGTAAAGCAGCCTCTGATTTGTGCTGTGTGGCTCCATAGACAGCTTGCTGGGTGTAGCAGCCATAAACATATAATACCTAGACGCCGCATTGACCTCTGGGGGGGGGCGAGAAATGCGGGCGCCATTTTGGGCCAGTCGCACTTCTGTAACATTACTGTACTGGACGAGTATGCCAGAGCACTGTATTATATGTCTATGAATATAATATTGAATCTATATTACTAGGCTTCCCGAAACATGATATCTATTCCTGTTCTGCATAGTACATTTTGCAAGATTTGCAAATATTTAATTCATTTCTCCTAGACCTATCTGCAAGCCTTGTAATATTTTGCCAGCTCTGATCTTTCATCTGTGAAGAACGGTCAAAAGTTACATTCATTTAAAAAAATAAAAATTCAATTCATTGAAGTGTTGGTGTATCAGTGTTATAACATGTATCACGACCTCTCTGTGTCAGTTAGAAATGCCACATATTATGTCCCTTATGTATCTTTATGTTGTCTTCACACTTATGGTTTGCTAAACATAAATATATATATATATGTAAAAAGAATACATTTGTCCAACCTGTGTGTGTTTATTCCTACCTTCCCCTGGTGTCTTGTGTTTTCAGGTGTGGTGCCATGGTGCTGGACGCTTTAATTAAGATTAAGAATGAGATGAATCCAACGCTGAAGTTCCGCAGATCATGCAGAGAAGGTAAAGCTTTAATAATGAGCATATCCAGACTCTGTGAATGATATCACACCACTTTTCTAAATGGGACCTCTGTTACAGGTATCTATGGTTCCTGTGTGATGAATATTAATGGTGGAAACACCTTGGCATGCACCTTAAAAATATGTTAAATGTTAATCTCAATAAAGTCTCCAAAATATACCCCTTGCCCCACATGTATGTCGTGAAGGATCTAGTTCCGGTAAGGCGAATAGGATCTGTGTACTTTGTGCACATATCCTGTGGGTTAACCCTGTTATACATGACATTAGCAGGCAAGCTGTTTATGATTAATTCTAGAAGAGGAGTTGGTTAGGGGATTAAATCGGCTGTGGATAGTGTGAGTTTTGGGCAATGGGAGGGTATAGATTAGGTCCTGGGGTGGGTATAGATCAGTAATTTCTCACATTAAAATGACAATGAGATCTTGGCTACGATAAACTGCAGCATCTAATGCATTGCTTTATGCTTTGTTTTGTGTCCTGTATTCTAGCGGTTGACCGATCCATGATGGCGGCCCCGTGGCTCATTAGCGCCAATAGGAAGTAGCGGTCAATGCAGCATCTAGGTATTATATGTCTATGGTAGCAGCGGTCAGTGTGTAATGGGGAAAGGTCTATGTGCGTGTATTGTGATCTCTACTGACAGTATACTGCCAATGGAGCATGTACTTTTACCTAGGAATCCTACAAATGTATTTATAATCATCCAGAAGTGAACAGAGAAGTAAGCTAGGCAGAGGAAAGTGGGTAGGAATCCAGTTAGTTGTTTTGATTTGATTTTTCTCCAAGATATATATATATATATATATATATATATATATATATATATATATATATATGTGCTCGGAATTTAAATACGTAATGGATAGTATCTGTGAGCAAAGTTGGTTGTGGTGTGCCGAAACCAACGTACGAGTGGGCCTGTAAATAAAAGAGGGCCCACCAAGGATAATGTAGTTAAAACAGGGTGTAGGTGGGTGGGGACAATCAGCTGAGCGGCAGCGGTGAGTAGGGGCTGGGAGTTTAAGTAGGGGACTTACTCCTCCCACAAATTCAGGCCTAATGGCCTTTCTACTTGTGCTCGGAATTTAAATACGTAATGGATAGTATCTGTGAGCAAAGTTGGTTGTGGTGTGCCGAAACCAACGTACGAGTGGGCCTGTAAATAAAAGAGGGCAAAAAGATAAATTCAAGAAAATACACACTTTATTGCATTTTACAAGACCAAGTTCCTGAAAGCTTGGCGAAGCTCTTTCTCTGGTTGCGGAATATATGTGTTATATATGGAGGATTTCCATCGCCCGAGCCTTTTGATGATGTGGACCGGTGCGTTTGTGCTAGAGGCTGCTGAGGCGGCTCCTATGCGGAAGGAGTGCCCGGAGAATGCAGCCGGGTTGTGTCCGAGCTTAGATAACAGGGTTCTGACATGTAACATCAATTTAGCCGTGGTAAGCGGGTGCCCTTGTAATGTTAAGAGCGGAGAGTCTGGCAGGTGAGTGTGAAGAGTTGACCGTAGTTGGTCGAGAACTTTCACCGGACACCAGGCATTATCAGTAGGGAAGAGAGGAATTATAGTAGGATGTATTGATCGGTTGGTTTTTGTGGTAGGGATAGAAAGGAGGTAGTGATCCTCTACCTTGGTGAGGTGTGAAGTTTTAAGGCATCGTGCCATATCTCCTTGACAAATCACGGTGAACTCTCTAGGTCTGAGAAAACCGTAGAAAGCGAGATATATGGCAGATTTTATCACCGTATTGGTGTCGCTATCAAATGGGGCTGTGTCAAGGAGATTGCTAAGTGACCTGAAGATAGGCCCGTCTATGGCTAATCTAGTGCTTGCGAGTGGTGGTGAAACCTTTGATATACCTTTCAAGACCTTTTTAATGGGGTATGAAGACAAAAAAGGAGTGCTGTTAGGAAAATTGGTGAGGCTGTGGTGCTGAACCCCGGTGAGGTAAAGTTTAATGGTGTTGTGTGACAGATTAAGGTGTAGGTGGCAAAAAGAGGCAAAAGACACCATGGTTTGGATAGAAAAGTCACCTTGTAGCCCGAATTCTGCAGTGAATTTGTTAAATATGTTAAGTGCCCTATTGTAAGTGATAGCAGTGTTGGGTGATAATGCTTGGTGAGTGAGTGATCTAGCGTGAAGCAAGAGTGTGCTTAATCCAATATTAGTTCGTGAAACCGTGGTGTCCTGGATGGCTGTTGGTGAGCTGCTGGGAGTGCCTGAGAAAATGCCTGGAATCGAGAACGAGAAAGAGCGTCAGCGGCGGTGTTGTGAATACCCGGGATGTGAGAACATACTAAGTGAAACTGATTGGATGCTGCCAGCCAGGTCAACTTGCGAATCAGCCGCATGATGGTCAGGGAAGATGAGCGCCCTTTGTTAATGATATCGCAAGCTGCCGAGTTATCTGAGTAGCATTTTACTGCCTTGCCGGACCAGAGATGACCCCAGGTGTGTGCGGCCGCCACAATGGGGTAAATTTCAAATAGGGCTGAGGTCTCCCTGAATCCTGGCAAGGCATCCGTCTCAGTGGGCCAGTGGCCCCTAAACCAGTGGTTCCCGAAAATGGCTGCGAAACCGGTGTTGGCTGCTGCGTCTGTGTGGATGATGGGTGAAGAGGTGGAGAGAGGGGGGATAAACATGGAGATACCATTCCAGTCTTTCAAAAACTTCCCCCACATAGCCAAGTCAGCCTTGGCGTGGGGGTCCAAAGAAACTGTGCCGGAGTCCGGAACTCCGTGGAGCAGGCAAAGAAGTCTGGAAATGAAAGACCTTCCCTGCGGAATGATGCGCATGGCGAAGTTCAGAGAACCAAGAAGGGACTGAAGTTCTCTCCTGGTGCAAACGTCATTCCGCAGGAACGTGTCTATCTCCCCTCTCAATCGTGAAAGTTTGTCGTGTGGAAGGCTAGCTCTGAGTTTGACAGAATCGAGCTCTATGCCTAAAAAGGTCAACTTAGTAGTGGGTCCTATAGTTTTGGCTGGGGACAAAGGGACTCCCAGTGTGGAAAAAAGTGCGGTAGTACTATTGATTGCTGTGGGTGTTGATGACCCTGGCTCTATCAGTAGAAAGTCGTCTAGATAGTGAATAACGGAGTGACACCTGATGACGTTCAGAAGCAGCCAGCATAGTGACTCTGCGAAAATGTCGAAAAGTTTGGGGCTGCTTCGAGAACCAAAAGTGAGTCGTGTTGAGAAGTAATAATACCCTCGCCATTTAACACCGTGTAAGTGCCAGAGTGAGGGGTGTATGGGCAGTAATTTAAAGGCGTTAGTGATGTCTGTTTTGCTGAGCCAGGGTCGATTACCAGATGTCATGATGGACTGTATGGCGTCGTCGATGGTGACGTACTGCAGAGAGAATTCGTCTGCTGGAATGAGTGCGTTTATGCTTGGAACAAAAGAGGAGTGCGGTGCCGATAAATCGATAATGAGACGTTTTTTATTAGAATATTTGTGAATAGCAATACCAATAGGGTTAGTGCGCCAGGAGGAAAACGGTGAAGAGGTGAAAGGACCAATCATGAAACCGTTTGTGGTTTCTGCGGAAATGAGAGTGTCTACAGCGACTGGGTCTAAACGTGCAGACTGGAGATTAGGACATTCTAGTGTACCTGGGGGAATGGCTACTATGCCTGTGTGAAACCCTTGTGAGAAACCTGTGGTGAGAAAATCCACTAAGTGCCTGCTGGGGTGAGACCTTAGATAAAAAACCAGGTTGTCGATATTAATGTCGGTTAGTCATTTGTTTGGTGACAACCTGGCTGGACACATGGTCTTGGTATGTGCCCTGAAACATATGGAGCAGATGTGCAATAATCTACAGGCGCTGAAACTGCAGGAGCCTGCGTTGAAATTATTGCACACCTGTGCTTTACCTAAAAAGGAGATGGGCCTACCCAGCTTATCCCGGAGACCACCCGCTGGCTTGTTGTGAGGGGTGAAAGAGGAGTGAGGTGTGAACGTGGGGTGAGGGGTGGGAGTGGAGGTGGTGGGATCTGGTTCGACGGGACATAAGTCCGCCATGTGGGATGTAGAATTACAGATGGCACAAGCCGGGGGCCTGAGTCCAGCGAAGTGGCGACAGAAAAGTTCCGTGTCCATCTGACCCCAGTTCATTCTAATGTTGAACTGCTTGAGGTGGGTCGCCGCCTTCGCTGAAACTGACTTGTGGTAGTCATAGAAGGAAGAGCCCCCGTACTTGATGCCTAGATCCACTACCTTGTGGAGATAGAGATCTAGCTCTTCTCTCCTATGGGGATACACCGTACAAATGACGTCGCGGTATATCCCAAAGGCTATCACAAACTGTGGGATAGACAATTTTTTATTAAGCCTGGGATCCCTCGTTTTGAGCACCACTGAGATGTCACCATAATTGTATGCCTTGTTCTCGAGTACATCCTGAGAGGCTATGAGTAAAGACACCAGACACACATCCTTCCCGTCTAGGATATCTTTCCTGATAGAATCTGGGACGGAGTGTGCTGGTGACTCGAAAGGTGTGATGGCTGTGCCAGGTGCTGGAGGGGGGAGTATAGAGGGACATGTAGGTATGGCAGGTACAGCCGTGGTAGAGACTGGGACTACGGTGTTAGTACCTGAGGAGGAGATGGCGCTCTCCACCTTAGACAGCCTGCTATTGAGGGTCTGTAGATTGGCCAAGATATCTGCCAGGGTATCCTGGGTTGCCGTGCTGTTTCTTGGTGGTTGTCCTTGAGAGCTAGTTCCCGGCCGAGGCTCGGGGACTTGTTGGGTAAGCAGCCTGTAAAGTTCTGCTTTTCTAGCTGTGGCCGGAAAGGGGATTCCCCTGAGCCTAAGTTCGGCCGTGATTTTGGGAATAGTCCATGCTCTCAAGGACGTGGGGGTTGAAAGCGTAAGTGATTCGCCTGGAGACACGGGTCTGATTGGCGTGAATGGTGTTTCTTCTATCGGTTCTTCGGTTGGAATTGGTTCTTGGGACATTCTAAAAAGGAATGATTATGTGAAAGATATATAAGAAGGGGAGTGAGGTAAGAAGGGGGGGGGGTATGGGGCGTGGTATGTCTGGAAGAACTGGACTTTAATACT